TTCAAACTCACCAGCCACTCCTCAGAAGGAAGATGGGGCAATCTACTTCCATAGTGATACTGCCTCGGAAACCCAAGGAGGGGTCACTATGAGTTGGGTCTGACTCGACGGTACATAACAACAGCATAGCAAGCTATCTAGTAGACTTTCAGAGAAATACTTGTCATAAAGTGGTAAAAGATGGATGGAAGTCATCTGTGTCTTCTGTTTACATAGATTGTTTCTGTAGCTTCTTCACTAATATTTTTGGGATCTGCAGAATTTAATGTTTTGAATGGATTCAATAAGTTAACTAATGCTGTTTGTAAACAATGAGGTTCATTCTCGGACCTTGAGCACTGCTGTTGTAAAAGCTATATAATTCTTATTAAGTCTTCTGGCATTTAAACAGACTTCTCAGGCCTTTTGAGTTTTAAATACTTGAAATTCTTCAGCAGGAATTATGTCAGGCTAACAAATTGAGGGAAATATTTCTGAAGCAAAGATCTGTTATCTTCTGCTCTAATCTTAAATTTATTTTCTTTCATGTAAGTCTTTTGAAAACATTTCTGTGGGATCTGTGGACTCATCCAATGAGAAAGGTAATGCTCAAGTTACTTAGAACTTTTGTCACTTTTTCCGTTTACTTTTGAGAACTATTTCCTTCTGCTTAAGGCATGCTTAATTTCATCTTGCTTAGTAACCTAAAATATCATTTTTAACATAAAATTATTAATAAAGTTTTGCATAAAATGCATAGGAAAAAAGGCCATTAGAGTAGATAATATAATTAAACTGTATAAAGATCAAGTATTGTATTAGAGTTGTAATTAGATAAATAATAGAAATACATATGAGATAAATATAGTTTGAAAATATTTTAAGTTTAAACTATGACCCTTAATTCTAAATTTCTGTCACACGGATTTTGTTTTATTACCAGTTCTCATTGAAGAAAACCTTATGATCTGAGTGCTTCTTTGTTTAGAATTATTATATGATCATATTTAATGTATACTTACCTTGATTTTTCTTTTTTCAGAAAATATTTCTCCTATAGAACTGGACAATGTGCTCTTAAAGAACACTGACTCTGTAGAATTGGCTTTGTCATATGCTAAAACATGGTCAAAATATACTAAGAACATAGTTTCATGGGTTGAGAAAAAGCTTAACTTGGGTGAGTTGCCCTTTGGGACATCTGATTAACTTTGGATTATTAAGAATTCATTAGTGTATAATTAATTTTTGTTCAGACTGTGAGTAAGCTGATTCCAAATTGGTAACTGTTTCACTGTAATAAATAGACTTATTGTCTATTTTCTCTTCCTGAAATAGGGAAGACTCTTCTCTCACTAAATGTACTTACTGAACATTCATTGTGGGCCAGCCACAAGATCTAGGGACATAAATACAAATAGAATACTGTCTCTGCCTTTATGGAGGTCAATATCTAGCAGATAAAAAGAAGTAAAATCAGATAATATTGTTAAAGGCAATAAAAGCAACAATAGATGTATGAGCAGAAGGAACATCTTAATAGCTAATATTTTTCTGGTGCTTTACAGTTGACAAAATGATTTACATCTATTTTTTCATTTGATCCTCACAAATCCCTATGAGTTAAGCAGGGCAAGATTACTGTCCCCATTTTATAACCAAGACAGATGATTTTTCTTAGTAACTGGAACACTGTAGGCTGAACCAGAGCCTTTCTCTTTCCTACTGCATTGTTTGTTATGTATAGGAAATGCTCATCAGAATCCCCCCTAGGTCCCATTCCCCTCAGTGGTGAGGTCTAGGCAACTGTATTTTGCAAAAGTTTCCCAGTGATTAATACCTGGGACTAAAAGTCATTGCATTGTATCACAATAGAGGATTAGTATTTGTGATCACTTTTAAACTGGGTAACTACAAATAGCAATTAACTTTAGAGTATCAAGGGGAAAAATAAGTTAATTGTTCCTTCTGATAATGTTCTTTGACCTTTCTAGAGTTGGAGTCCACTAGAAATATTGTGAAGTTGGCAGAGGCAACTAGGACTAACATTGGAGTACAGGTAAGAGTTCTGTGAACTTCTAGGGTTCTATAAAAGAGACAACTCAGATGACCACCTGAAATTGCCCTGCACAATTAGAAATTTACTTAATTAACTTGGGGAAGTGCCTAAATGCTAATCTTTTTATTGGTATAATAAAATCCTTTTAAATTTGGATGACTGTCCATGATGAAAAGAAGAAGAAATTCACAGTTCTGTACTAATGATCATATTGATAACTATTAATTTTGCTAAATAATTTTATAACTAATTATAATTAATTTTCTTCAATATTTTCTCCGAGTCACATTTATGACGAGTCATTGTCTTAAAAATAAATAGTCTAAAACAAAGTTTCTTTTTGAAAAAGAGTAGTGGTGAATCTGGAACTCTAGCATTGTTTCTATTGAAAAAATTACTTTTCAATTTGAATTTCTAGGAATTTATGCCACTGCAGTCTCTATTTACTGATGCTCTTACTAAAGATATAGAGAGCAGTCACCTTTTGCAAGAAACAATTGCAGCTCTCCAAGCTAACAAATTTGTGCAGGTAAACAATCATTTATGTGTGGAATATACATTATTTTTAATGCCAACATACATTGAAAAACAGCTTTTCCTTTTTTTTTTTTTTTTTAATACTCTGGATAGCCTTTACTTGGGAGAAAAAATGAAATGGAAAAACAAAGGAAAGAAATTAAAGAACTTTGGAAACAGGAACAAAATAAAATGGTTAGTATGGTAATGGATTTTCATGTACGTGTATGTCGTGACCATCTAAAATCACCTACAGTTATATAAGCATTGGTCTTACTCTGTAGCTTTTCTAAAATTCTGTCTTAACTGTTTTGCTGAATATGCTAAATCAGAAACTTGTACATTAGGGTCTCTTTCATACTTTGTGTTTAAGATGTTTTTTTGTATATGTAGCTTGAAACAGAGACTGCTCTTAAAAAGGCAAAATTGTTATGCATGCAACGTCAAGATGAGTATGAAAAAGCAAAATCATCCATGTTCCGTGCAGAAGAGGAACATCTGTGCTCAAGTGGAGGATTAGTGAAAAATTTCAAGCAACTAGAAAAAAAGCGAAAGCTGGAAGAGGAGGCTCTTCAAAAAGTAAAGATCTTTTCTGTTATTTGCCATAATTATTGAATTAGCAATAATCTATTAAAGTTTTGGTTATCAAACTTTAGCAGGCATCAGGATCACCCAGAAGGCTTGCTTAAATACAGATCACTGGGTGCTGTCCCCAGTGTCTGATCTAGGATAGTAACTGGAGGAATGTAGACTGCATTTTTAACAAGTTCCCAGTTGAAGCAGCTGCTGCTGGTGGGGACGCATACTTTGAGAACCAGTATACTCAAAGACTTTTGCTTATCTTTTGAGTTTTGGGTTTGTGAAAGAAGCACCTTAGAGAAGGCAGTTGTTCAGTATTTTTGACTTGCTAGTTCAAGAAGTTTACCTTTTAGGTGACCATGTGTGCACACTAATTCTAGCATCTAATAGCAAGCATAGGCCAAAGCTTTGTTTTATTTATGAAAATATCATTTGATAGGCAAATAAATTCTATAAGATTATATGGAAAATGGTAAATTTAAATAGAAAAAACAGTTTTAAATAGAAGTAGAGATCTGTTTTGTAAACAGACAATATACCAATTGTAAATTGTACTTGACTTGCCATTAAGGTCAAGTGCCCTTGAGTCTCTGAGCAAAATAGATTGTTTTATCTTTAGAAATAGTCTACTTAAAACATAGAATATTTCAGAATTTTCATGAAAAAAATTTTCAGTTGTTTAAATTTAGCTTTACTATAATGAAGGTTTTAAGATATAAATTCTAGTGATGAGTTTTATTTTACATACTTTTTGAAGGTAGAAGAAGCAAATGAACACTACAAAGTTTGTGTGACAAATGTTGAAGAGAGACGGAATGATCTAGAAAACACCAAAAGAGAAATTTTAGCACAACTCCGGAAACTAGTTTTCCAGTGTGATCTTACCCTTAAAGCTGTAAGTAATTTCTTCAGATTTTTGAAGATAAGAGGAAAGGGAAAAGAAAAAAAAAACTGTGTATCTTCATTGGAGAGAAAGATGCCTAATGAGCCATGATTCTTGTGGAATTAAATTTTTGAGATTAATAGGACTTGTTGAGTTTGAAAATTGATGTTTGGTTTTTGAACCTAAACCAGTATGTGGTTTAAGTTGTTTTGATCTGTTTTTCCCCTCAGTAGAGTGATGATTTGTTTGGTTAGAATTGAAATCTGAGAATTTGAAATTACTTGTAAGCCACTGTCTTTCTTAGTTTGGTTTACAAAATGGATTTCACCCCTGAAATATCAATCAGCACTATGAGACCTATTCTTTACAATCTGAGTAAAATATTAAATGGGACCCAGTAATTTATTTGGGGACAAAGTATCCTTTCCTCATGTGGTTTTATTTGCCTCTTTAAAATGGTTTTCAAAATTTTTTTATTAATTGTATAAAATTGGCCCTTTTTAGGGTGAGAGTCATATGTTTCTGTAAGTTTTAATACATGTATAAATTTGTGTAACCATCACCACAATCAATATTCAGAACAATCTGTCACCCAAAAATATTCCGTCATGCTGCTGCTTTTAGTCAAACCCTCTACCTACCCCTAACCCCTGGCAAGCACTGTTCTCCACCTTTAAGTTTTCTTTTTTCCAGAGTGTCATATAAGTGGAATCATATGTATATGACCTTTGGAGACTGACTTCTTTTCCTTAGCATAATGATTTTGAGATTCATAGTGTTATGACTGTATCAGAAGGCCATTTCTTTTTATTGCTCAGTGGTATTCCCTTATATAAGGAGCTCTAGGGGCCTAGTGGTGAAAGCATTTGGCTACTAACTGAAAGGTTGACAGTTCAAACCCACTAGCCACTCTGGGAGGATGAGGTAGTCGGCTTCAGTAAAGATTTACATCCTTGGAAACCCTATGACACAGTTCTACCCTGTCCTAAAGGATTACTGTGAGTCAGAGTCAACTCAGTAGCAGTGGGTTTGGTTTTTGGTTTGTGACCTGTGGGTAAGCACTCAGCTGCTAATGAAAAGGATTGGTTCAAACTGACTAGCTGCTCAATGGGAGAAAGATTACAGACTTGGAAACCCCATGACGCAGTTCTTTTCTGTTCTTTAGGGTCATTATGAATTAAAATTGACTCAACACCAACAGGTTATTCCGTTACATGAATGCATCACAATGTTTCTCCATTAGCCAGTTGAGTATTTGCATTGTTTCCAGTTTGGGGTGATTATTGTTGTGGTTGTTGTTGTTAAGTGCCATCGAGTCGCTTCCGACTCATAGCGACCCCATGCACAGCAGAACGAAACACTGCCCGATCCCGCACCAGCCCCACAATCCCTGCCATACTTGATCCCATCATCGCAGCCACCGTATCAATCCATCTCGTTGAAGGCCTCCCCTCTTTCGTCAACCCTCCACCCTACCAAGCATGACATCCTTCTCCAGGGAATGGTCCCTTCTTACAACATGACCAA